CCACGGATGATCCCTCCAGCGCGCGAAGCAAGTGGTCACGGAGCGAAGTGCGACTCAAAAGCTCGCCCCCCTGAGGTCACCGCTGCTCGCGAACGATAAGGTGCCGCGCGGCTGCCCCCCGCCCAGCGGCGCTCTTGGGTTCGGGGGGCCGCTGGCGCGTCAAAGCCAAGTAGTCGCAGGGAAAACCATGCTTATCGGTAACAAAAAAATCCGCGAGCCCTCACCTCTTCGAAACTCGAAACGCTGCACTTTCGTTTTTGCCGCCAACCAAAATTCGGTCGGAAGGATGCGCCGCGATTGCGGCTGCAACCTCTTTCGGCCCGCCCAAGCCGTCGCGATGGTGCGAGTTTGCGAGAGCGTGGGTTTGAGCTCGCTCAAGCTTCGCTCTGGAGGGGGGGGCGGGGGGGGGGACGCAAACGACGAAAACCGGCGAAATAATTGAAGCGCGATTGGGGGGGGGAAGCGGGGGGGGGGGGCGCTCAAGCTTCGCTCTGCAATGGGGGGGGAACGCCAACGACGAAATAATTGACGCGCGAAAGGGCGGGGGGGAGGAGAAGGGGGGGGGGCAGGAGAGAGGGGGAGGGGGGGGGGCAGGAGAGAGGGGGGGGGGGGAAGGAGAGAAGGGGGGGCGGGGGGAGGGGGGGGGGACACGAGAGAGGCGGGGGGGGGGGATAGGAGAGAGGGGGCGGGAGGGAAGGGGGAAAGGCAAGCTAGGTGCGCTCGCGTCATATCTGACATCCTACCCCTCCCTCCCATCCCTTACCATGGCGCTGATCCCCTCTCTACTCGCACAGCCGGATGTCGAGCAGGGCAATGATCCCGAAAGGGCACGCGATGCATTGTAGAGCACGGCGTGGCATGGCGTAGAAGAGCACCGCGAAGCGTAGTATCAACCTAGCATTGCATTGCACGCCGTGGCATGGCACGGGAAATGACGCCAGCGCTGCAGCGGGAGCACGAGTCGAAACGAGCGAAAACGCGGAAATGAGGCCAACGCTGCAACGGGAACACGATTCGGAACGAGCGGAACCACGCCGGAATCGGCCCGGGAGGCTTCCAGGGCGCCAGCAGCAGAAATTCTGCATTTTCAAAAAGGAAGATATGCATTGGAATGGCCTTTTTTCGGCGCCGCCTCGGAACTCGATTTTCCGGCGCCGGCCGGAACCGGCTCCGGACCCGGCCCGGGCGCCAGGAATCGGCCCGGGAGGCATCCTGGGCGCCGGAAGCATTTTCAAAAGAAAAGTGCGTTTGGAGTGGCGTTTTCGGCGCCGCCTCGGAGCTCGATAGTTCCGGCGGCGGCCAGAACCGGCTCCAGACCCGGCCCGAGCGTCGGCCCGGGCGCCAGCTCGGGCGTGCAGCCCGGGCGCCAGCGGAAATGGTGCCGGCGCTGCGGCGGGAGCACGATTCAGAACGAGCGGGGCCCGAAAATGGGGCCGGCGCCTCAGCAAGAGCAGCATTTTAGAAAAAAGTGCAAGCGAAAACCCAAATCCGGGGAAACCTGTGTAAAAAAAACAATACGCGGGGGGGTCGGGCACTTTCAAGCCGTCATTAGGGGAAGAGGGAGAGTAGTATTCATATTGAGTAACTGTAGACGGGGGGGGGGACAGGAGAGAGGAGGGCGGGGGACAGGAGAGAAGGGGGGACGGGGGGGGGAGGAGAGAGGGGGGGAGCAGGGAAAAACAGTGGGAGGGAGGGGAAAGGAAAGGGGGGGGCAAGAGAGGGGGGGGGGCAGGAGAGAGGGGGGGGGGGGGGGCAGGAGAGACGGGGGGCGGGAAGGGGGGGGGGGACAGGAGAGAGGGGGGGGGGGAACAGGGCAGAGAGAGGGGGGGGCGGGGGGAAGGAAAGGAGAGAGATGGGGAGGGGGGGAACAGGAGAAAGGGGAAGGGGAGGGGGGGGGGCAGGGGGCAAGGATCATCTCCATCTCCATCACCATCGCCATCGTCACATCACCATCACCATCATCATCCGGAGCGCCCTGGATCGGCGGCACTGGCCGGAGACCGCTACAATATACTCCGCGAGCCCTCACCTCTTCGAAACCCGAAACGCTGCACTTTCGTTCTCGCCGCCAACCAAGATTCGTTCGGCAGGATGCGCCGCGATTGCGGCTGCAACCTCTTTCGGCCCGCCCAAGCCGTCGCGATGGCATCGCCGCCCAAGATGGCGCACTCGGCTTTCGCGCCTGGCGCCTTCCAGAACAGCCGCGGAAAGCGCGCCGCCTCAACTTCGCCGCGAAAATCTCGCCGGCGGCCCCGCCCAGTCCGTCGAAGGAGTCCGTCGAGAACGACGCGTCGCGCTTCGGCCCTACGGCGTCCAAACGCACGGTCGGACCGCCAAGACTGGACCGCTGAAGCCTCAGGATGGCCCCGTCCAGCATGAGAGCATTCACGTAGCACTCGGAGACGTTTCTCCCAGCGCAGGCGCGCAACCACAGCGCGCGCGCAGCGTCGACGCGCCACGGAGGCGACGAGAGCACGCCGAATGGAATCATTCTCGCATCCGCCGACGTCCGCGGCACCCCGCCAGACTCCCACCCAACGGGGCGCGGGGGGAGCAGACCAGCTTCACGCCTTCGGAGTTCCGCGGGCCTCCGCGGCCACCCGCCAAGCTTCCACCGACGCCAATACTACCCCCAACCGAAGCGTCAGCACTATCACGAATTACATGTGATGCTTGAATTGCAACATACTTCGAAGCGGCCTGGTGAGGAGAAGCGGGTTCGAAAGGCGGTCGCCCTTCGCTGGAGCACAGAAATGGACGCGCCGCCAAGTTGTTGTTGGTGCGATTTCGTGTTGCCTGTCCTCAAGCCGTCGGTTCCCTCTCGGTACTCGGAAGCCTGAGCCCGCAGTTTCGCGGCAGCTTGGCGCCCGGCCTTCAGTAGGACCGCTCGAGTCCGCGGCTGCTTGAAGAACTTCTCCACCCGTTTCTTCGCCCGCCGCTCGTTGTTAGCGTTGAGCTTCTCCCTGTACTGCGTGGATCCATGTGGAAGGGTTGCCCATGGCCGAGTGTGAAGCGTGGCCGCAAAAGAAAACTTGAACATAGATGCGTATTGCAAGCGCAGTAACAATGACTATGGTGATTAGGTTTACGATGGTATTGCACTAAGATAACAATGGCCTCCGCACCTCTTCCCCTTCTTCTTCCAACAGGAATTGGGAAGAGCGGTTCGGAAGGAGCATGGGATGAGAGCGAACTCAAATCATATGACAGTAGGTGGTAGGAGGGTGATGCGGACGAACAGCGGACATCAGATGATGCAGACGATGATGATGATGCTGATTCTGAGAATGCGGATTATGATGCAGACGACGATGATGAGAATGATGATGATGACAATGCTGATGACCATGACGATGGAAATGATGATGATGATGATGATGATGATGATGATGATGATGATGATGATGATGATGATGATGATGATGATGATGATGATGATGGTGATGCTGCTTAAGATGCAGATGATGACGATGATGACGATGCGGATGAGCCCATTGCGAGACAGGAGGGCCCCACAGCGTTCCCCTCTCAACGTCGAGCGAGTCAAGCCCCCTCCTCGCGCTGCTGTGAATCGTCTCGCTCGGTCTGGACACTCCTGGTCTTGGACGGGGCGGTTCTGACAATACTCGCGTTGAGTCAGAGAGGTTCGGTCGGTGGACAAACCTGGTCTTGGAATCTGCCGTGGGGGAGTCGGCGCTGGGATTCGAGGCTATGATGCGCCTAGGCTATCGGCTTTGGGGCACAAGATGCTTTAGCTCGATGCGTCTGACAGCAGCTTCATATTGTTTACATCAGTTGCAAGTTTTACACTTTGTGGTTGACAGTTTCGGGGATTGCGCCAAGGGTTGTGCACCGCTCCCTCGCTTCGGTGCGCAGGGAGGAAAGAACGCCTGGAAGCGTATGTGGCAAGGTCGGCACCCCAAGGTGCTCGCCACCCCAGTACGTTTACCTTCGCATCGCGGGGACTGACCAATGAACGGCAGCGCCATCTGCCAACACCCGTCCCAAAGGGGTTGATTCCAGGCGCTTCCCCCGTATACCGAGATTTGGCTCTACCGAGCCTCGCCCTAAAGGGGGGTCAGGGTCTTTGTAGAAAAGCGTTACCTTTTCGCTTCCAATATCGCACAACTGGCTCAACGACGTGAGACTGGAGACTGCAGGGCAAGCCAGGAATGACACTTTGGGGGGTCAGCGGCGACAGATGCGGTCTCACGGGGTCGAAAAGCTAGGAACGTCACACGAGACGTCGCCAACAGCGGGTCCGCCAATGAGGAAGGAGAAAGAGGCGGGAAAGACAGCGGACCACAGAAGCGGCGGTGTATCAATCAACAATTCTGGGGGACTTCTGCCATAGAGGCCTCCCGAATGGGTCCAGAGCAAGCGGGGCCTGATGACCGCACAGCATCGCTAATACGCCGGCCATGTGCCAGCGACATCGGCGATGCTTTGCGATCCTGCGGCTCCGCCTAGATTGGCCTCTGGAGGTAACTACTTCGGCTTCGTGCCCTAACACCGCGGGGATCGTTCAACCTTGAACGATCGGCTGGTTCCCAAACGTCCGATCGTTCGACGTCGACCGATTCTGAGTGGCCAGCGGCATCCCACGTTGAACGCCGGCGGCGAGGTCGCCGCCAGTCGACAGGGCGTAAACCTACCGTATCCAGTCTTGCCCTGAGGCCGCGAGAGACCTCCTCTGGAGGACCCGCCGAAGCCGCAGGAGGAGGAGCCAAGAACATCCGAAGGCATCCAAATAGGGCCCCTCGATGTATGTTGGCCGCCGCCCCAACTCGCCCCGCCCCCGTCGCGGGCGCCCTCGGCAAGAGATGACGCGACGACGACGACGACGACGACGACGACGACGACGACGACGAAGACATCGACGACGACGACGACGACCTGCTCCACTTCCTCCACGACGACGAAGGCCACCTCGACGACTGCGGCGACGACGACGGCCCCCTCGACGGCGGGCGCAGCGGCGCGGCGCGGCGCGCGGGGACCACGAGCGCCACGGCGGCCAGCAGGGCCGCGGAGGCAGCCGACGTGGCCTCGCGCGCACGGCCGCGCGCCGAGGTCGCCGCCGGTGGCCGGCCGCCGGCCGCCAGCCGCTGGCCGCCGAGGAGCGAGGAGCGAGGATCGACCAGAGGAGGGCCTCGGAACCTTTGGAAGCGAAGCGAAGCGAACGCCGGAGTCGTGCGCGCTCCTTGGGGGAGCCAGCCCCGTGCCCATGATGGCATGGCGTGGAGGCCGGTACGAGGAAACCGAAGTTCGGAAGGCCAGGAGCACTAGGGATAGGTTTATGTTCTGCAGGTGTATCGCAACAAAACCACCCAGAAATATCATCCCTAATGCGAAGACGGGGACCTCAGTGAGGCAACCTCTTCATCGTGTTATTACGGTTCGGGGTTCTGTTATCCTCAATGAAGCGAGGATCGAAGGCTGAGGGGGGCGGAACCACCTCGGGGATCGAGGGCCTCGAGGATCCAGGAGGATCGGAGAGGGCCGAGGCCTCGAGGATCCGGGAGGATATCGAGGGCCTCGAGCCGAGGATCCAGGAGGAGTGAGGGCCTCGGGGACCCAGGAGGATCCTCGATGCAGGAGGACCGGAGAGGACCGGGCACGGGACAGGATCGAGGGCCCAGGCCGTCGTCGAGGATCGAGCATCGTGGTCGCCGCGGAGGACCGGGGACCGTGGAGGAGCGCGGGTCGAGGAACGAGGGCCCACGACATCGAATCTCCGGCCCTCCGCAGGGGGCCCCGAGTCGCCCGAAGAGCGCTCCATCACGCCCAACACTGCGCATGGCCCCCAAGCGGCCCAAAAGGCCTCCAAGGCGCCTCGAGAGGGCTCCAAGGAGGCCGCCCAAGAGGGCGCGGAAAGGCGAAAATCGCTGACCCCCCTGTGGCGTTGGAGGGAAGTTCCGCCACCGTGCCTCTGGGCACCGAGTGGGCGTGTCCTCAAATCCTTCGCCTGATCCTTGCACCGGAGCCCCAGTCCTCGATCCTGGGGGGTCTCCTCAGGAGCCAGGACCCTAAATTCCGAAATCTGCGGGGGCTCCTGGCGTGCCCCCTGGGCTCCCTCGTGGTTTGTCGCATGACTTTCTGGGGCCCAAGGGGGCCCCAAGACGGGTCAAGAGGGCCCCAAGAGGCCAAACAAATTGTCCAACAGGGCCCCGAGTCGCCCAAAGATTGGCCCAAGACGCCCAGAATGGCCTCCAGACGGCCCGAGAAGCTTCCAAGACGCTCCAAGAAGCCTCGAAGAGGCCCCCCAAGAAGGCCTCCCAAGAAGGCCCCAAGATGCCAAAATCTTTGATTTCCCAATGGTTTTTGAAGGTGTTTGTCACTCTCGCCTTTTAGGCTTTGCGACGCTCCAAGACGGCCCAAGAGACCTCAAGACGACCTAAGAAGGCCAAAAGGGGCCCAACAGAGGAAACACGAAGCGAAAATCCGAGCCCTCCGCCCAAGAAGGCCTCCAGGAGGCCCCAAGAGGCGCCCACGAGACCCCACGAGGCCCCCAAGAGGCCCAAGAGGTCCCTAAGAGTCCCCAAGAAGCCCCCAGGAGGCCCTGGAGAGGCCCAAAACAGACCCCAAAACGGCCTCCGAGAGGCCTCCAAACTGCCCACAAGAGGCCGACCACGAGATTCCAACGAACATCCACACCCACAACCCAGGCACGGTGGCGGGATGCGCCGAAGGCCATTAGATAGCGTTCTCGGTTGTTCGAAATTTCGACGCTCCAAGACAGCCGATTATCGCCCCTAAAGAGAACCCCATCAGGGCCCCAGAAGAGGAATTCGCACAGACAGTTCGCGCACTCCACCCCAAGTTAAACCCCGAGACCGCCAGCAGAACCCAAGAAGCCCAGAAACCCCATAACTTTCTTCACAACAGTACCAATCAGGCCCAAAGAGACCCCCAAACAGCCCCCGAGAGGCCCCAAGACACTTCAAAAGCCGCCTCCGAAAGGCTTCCAAAAGGGCCATCAATGCACCTGCAGGAATCCAGGCACGGCAGCTGGATGGGCAGAAGGCAAATAATAACTCAGGGGCGCCATCCCTGTGAGGGTCGCCACTTCTCGAAAGCCAAAGCGCCCGGCCCACAGCTGGCCCACAGGGCCGGCAAAGCCAGCCGACTGGTGGGAGCGCCATCCTCTTGAGGGTCTCCACTTCTCGAAAGCCAAAGCGCCTGGCCCACAGCTGCACGTAGCCGGCGGAGGCCTCCGGCCCACCAGGAGGGGCGCCATCCCTGTGAGGGTCGCCACTCTTCGAGGGCCCAGGCGCCCTGCCCACAGTTGACCCACAGAGCCGGCAGAGCCCTTCAGCCCGCCGGGAGGAGCGCCATCCTCGTGATGGTCGCCACTTTTCGAAGGCCAAGGAGCCCAGCCCACAGCTGGCCCACACTGGCTCGCCAGGAGGGGCGCCATCCCTGTGAGGGTCGCCACTCTTCGAGGCCGAAAGCGCCTGGCCCACAGCTGGCCCACAGAGCCGGCAGGGGTCTTAGATAATGCAATTCTGAATACCAGGTAAGAACCCCTTCTGCTAAAGAATATTTGGGGAAAAAGCTGCAAAGCGTTACTTGGACGGAGTGAGGGCCGTATTTTCCGAAACACCGTTCCCGCCGCAGCGCCGCGGATATTCATCATAAATATTTCAAAAGATACACAGGTAAAGGGGGAGTTGCTTTTAAAATGCTGCTCCCGGAATGAAGAGCGGATGTATTTTAAAATGCGGTTATCGCATAAGCACCGCGTCCACTCGTCCGACAAACTCTGGAACCTGCAAGGATGCAGGGCGAATTGCTGTCAACATGTGGTCCTCGCCTACGTGCTGCGCACATTCGTTTTAACTATGGCCAACAGCTACCAGAATGGATAACGGTTCCTTTTCAAAGTTTGGTTCTCGCTTGAGACTTCGCCATGGCCATAGAAGCAAAGATATGCAAGTGCTACGCGGATGTAGGGCGGCTCCTTTTCAAAATGGGAGTGTTGCTTGAGACTCCTACTTCTTTGTGGCCCCAGAAAACGATTGTGCGCAGCAGCTTCATGGATGGAGAGCAATTATGTGTTGACCTTCCTTTTACAAAACAAGAAACTGACTCGCACGACGTTCGTTAAAATGTAGATACACTACACCGTGGCGCCTCTTGGATACAGGGCACATTATTCTTATGATTGTTAGTTTCATTATTGTTTATGATTTTGTTATTATTAGTCTTAATAATGTCCTGGTTAATATGAGTAGTATCATTATTAATTGTTTTATTCGCGAAGTGCGCCCTGCGCTTTCATTGCAGGCATCTGGAGCTCTCGTCTTTCCACGGGGAGGGCTTCCCGTGGTGAGGAGGTGGTTGTAGGGATTGGCTCCTCCCACTCCTCCCCCGCCCCCTCCTGCCCCTCCTCCTAATCACCCTCCCCCCCTCCTCCTCCTCCTCCTCCTCCTCCTCCTCCTACCTGCTCCGCTCCGCTCATCCCTCTCCTCCTCCTTCCTCTCCCCACATAGATTCGTTGGATAGTTTCGTCGGCGACCCGTGCGCGGGTGACCCTGGGACCGGGGCCACATGGCCCCCTTGAAATCATTTGAGCGCAGAGGTGTCACTCACCCGTAAAGACGTGAACCGTGCCACTGTCAAGACAGGCGCCAGCAACCCTCTCAAAGGCTGCGCAATCCACCAGAATGCTCCCTCCCTGTCACCCCCCTCCCGAAGACTCTGGGACCCAAAACCGTGTGGTGACGGACCGCGTGGTGACCTCGGAACCCCCCACGACCTCACCGCGCGGTCCGTCACTGCACGCTTTCGGTACCCTAAAGGCCCCAGACCCCCGAGACGTCCTCGGAGAACGACCCGCGTCCCAAAACCATGCGGTGACCCAGAATCCCCACTGACTTACCACGCGGGGTGGTCACCACCGGGACGAGCCCAGAGATCCGATGCCGTGATTTTTTCAATGCGGGGTCCCCAGAAGTCTCGACCCTTTCGCCAGAACTGGTTTTTCATCCTGAGTCGTTTTTCGACAGTCCCAGGGCCTGGCGAGGGCCCCTAGAGGACGAAAATTGCGAAAAACCTCCGCCTTGACTTTTTCAACGCGTTGGATCTCGGGGAGGCGGTGGCCAGACGAGACGCCAACGGGAGCGGCGCGCGCGAGCGCGCGGGACGCCCCGGGGGCCCGCCTGGGCGCTGGACTTCTCGGAGCCGGAGCCCCACGCTCCGCCTTCGGGCGGGGGGGGGTCGCGGCAGCCCAGGTGCAACTCGCGGGGCCCCGCCCGAGAAGAAGCGCCCAGACATCCAGCGGCGCACAAAAAAACGAGACGGCCAATGTTTCCCCAATCAGAGCCTGCCTCTGTAGGGGTCCTAGCGAATCGATATGGTTAGGTGAGCTGGGCCGCCGATTTCGGTGGCCTGCTTGGGTGCCCCCGTGCCCGGGTGCCCGGGGGTGCCCGGGTGCCCTGGGGTGCCCGGGTGCCCAGGTGCCCGGGTGTCCGAGTGCCACTCGGGTACCTGGCTGCCCAGGTGTCCGGGTGCCCGGGTGCCCAGGTGCCCGGGTGCCCTATAGCCCCAGCCCTATAGCCCTATATCCCTAATAGCCCTATAGCCCTGTAGTCCTTTAGCCCTATAGCCCTACAGCCTTACAGCCTTCTAGCCTTATAGCCCTGATAGCCATGTAGCCCTGGAGCCCTATAGCCCTGTAGCCCTATAGCCCTGATAGCCCTATCGCCCTGTAGTCCTATAGCCCTATAGCCCTACAGCCTTACAGCCTTCTGGCCTTATAGCCCTGATAGTCCTGTAGCCCTGTAGCCCTATAGCCCCAGAGCCCTTTAGCCCTATAACCCTATAGCCCCAGAGCCCTTTAGCCCTAATAGTCCGATAGCCCTATAACACAATAGCCCTATAGCCCAACAGCCCTATAGCCATATGGCCCCATAGCCCCATAGCCCTAATTGCCCTATAGCCCTAATAGCCCGATAGCCCTATAACCCTATAGCCCTATAGCTCTACAGCCCTGTGGCCCTGGAGCCCTATAGCCCCAGAGCCCTTTAGCCCTAACTGGCCTAGAGCCCTATAGCCCTAATAGCCCTATAGCCCTATAGACCAATAGCCCTTTAGCCCTTTAGCCCTATAGCCTTATAGCCCTATAGCCCTATAGCCCTAATAGCCCTATAGCCCTAATAGCCCTATAGCCCTGTAGCCCTATAGCCCTACAGCCCTATAGCCATATGGCCCCCTAGCCCTACAGCCCTATTGCCCTATAGCCCCATAGCCCTATATATAGCCCTACAGAACTATGGCCCTATAGTCGCATAGCCCTATATCCCTTAAAAAATATGATTGGGTTTTTTCTCCGGTATCATTGTTACTTTTCTGCCTCTGGGGCGGGTCTCGGGTCCCGCCCTGAACTGTCGAAAGCCCGGTTCAGGGTGAAAAGCTAGCCCCAGATCCGGGGAAGGGGTCGAAAGGTCTAGGGGCTCACGTCTCGGAAAAACTGGAACCACCGGATGTCTAGAAAGGAAGGAAAAAGAGAAGGAAATCGAAAGGAAAGCTCCGTCCTCCTCTTTCTCTTCCTCCTCCTCGTGCTCTTCCTCCTCCTCCTCCTCATCATCATCCTCCATTCCGTTTACTTATGAATAACTTCTCTCTCTGTCGCACCCCGAGGCCAGTTTTTAGAGCGGGCTGGGCGGTTCGCCTGAGACTTCCTCACCATTTATGACCCTGAAGCGTGAAAAAAAGGCAACAATTTCACAGATTGAGGGCGAGTGGCTTTCAAAGAGTGGCTCTCGCCTTAGCGCCGCGTGCATTCGTGTTAACAAACTTTGCAAGAGCTTCACGGGTTGAGGGCGGGTGGTTTTCAAAATGTGGCTCTCGCCTTAGCGCCGCGCGCATTCGTTTTAACAAATTGCAAGAGCTTCACGGATTGAGAGCGGGTTGTTTTCAAAATGTGGCTCTCGCCTTAGTGCCGGGCACATTCTTTTCCAAAATTTGCAAGAGCTTCGCGGATTGAGGGCGGGTGGTTTTCAAAATGTGGCTCTCGCCTTCGCGCCGCGTGCATTCGTCTTAATGTGCAAGAGTTTCACGGATTGGGGCGGTTCCTTTTTCAAAATGCGGCTCACGCCTCTGCGCCGGGCACATTCGTAGGATTCAAGATTATGGTGGTGCAACAGTTACGTTGACTCGCGATGTTAAAGTCCCAGGAATGGCGTTCTGGCACGGTTCAGGAACGTCAAGACGCAACAGTCAGGTTGACCCGTGGCGTTGGAATCCCGAGAACAATGCTTGGGCATGCTTCAGGGTCTTCAAACGGTTGTCTTCCAACGCGGCAGTTCCCTGTGTAAATGAATCGTTGTAGGGGCCTATGAATAGGGAGCTTGGAGTGAGGGTGTATTCCAACATCGTTGATGGCTCCTGGGTCTACACTGATCCTCCTCCTCCTCCTCCTCCTCCTCCTCCTTCTCCTCCTCCTCCTGCTCATCATCATTATCATCATCATCATCATCATCATCATCATCATCATCATCAGCATCCTCATCATCAGCATCGTCATCATCAGCAGCAGCATCCTCATCATCATCATCATCAGCAGCAGCAGCAGCAGTAGCAGCCTCATCATCAACAGCAGCAGCCAGCATCATGATCAGCATCAGCATCACCATCAGCAGCAACAGCATCAGCAGCAGCACCATCATCATCATCATCCTCATCATCAACAACAGCATCATCATCAGCATCAGCATCGTAAGCAGCATCATCAGCAGTATCGGCATCATCAGCATCATCATCAGCATCAGCATCGTCATCATCATCAGCAGCAGCATCAGCAGCAGCACCATCATCATCATCCTCATCATCATCAACCACAGCATAATCAGCATCAGCATCGTAAGCAGCATCATGAGCAGTACATATCGTCATCACCATCATCATCAGCATCAGCAGCATCGTCATCGTCATCGTCATCATCAGCGTCATCATCAGCATCATCATCATCAGCAGCAGCATCATCATCAGCAGCAGCAGCATCATCCCCCCATTCCCCCTCGTCCTCCCTCCTCACGCCTGTTCCACCACCTCCTCCTCCTCCTCCTCCTTCCTCCCTTTCATCCTCCTCCTTTACTTTTTCCTCATCCCTTTTCATCCTCCTCCTCTTCCTCCTCATCATCCTCCTAATTATCCTCCCCCTCCTCCTCCTCCTCCTCTCCTCCTCCTCGTCCTCCTCGGCCTCCCCTTCCTCCTCCTCCTCCTCCTCCTCCTCCTCCTCCTCCTCCTCCTCCTCCTGCTCAACATCCTCCTTCATTTCCTCGCTCCTCCGTGTTCATCATCCCACTTCTCCTCCTCCCCCACCTGGCTGTCCCGACGAACCCACATGAAAGGGGAAGATGAGGACAAGGGAGGGAGGCAACAACAGTTTGTGATGCTGGAAAAAGAAAATTCGGGGAGGGGGAGCACGAGGAACAGCTGCAGCAGCAGCAGCGGCAGCAGCAGCAGTGGGAGGAGGATGAGAAGCGGGATGGTGACAACGATATCAACCGTGATTATTTCGGTGATAGCAACGCCGAGGAGGATGGCGATGTGAAGGAAGATTAGAGTGATGATGATGTGGAAGAGACGGGGATAATGTACGTGGGCCGCGTACACCGGATGCTCCTCCCCTGCTCGTTGTATGTCCTTGTCCCTCTCGCTACCTATGCATTTCACTGCACAGAATACATCACTGTTGTGGTCAGCCCCTTGGGTGCAGGTCGTCTGAAACGTTCGTTCTTTCCTGTTCCAAAACCCTCCTTACGTCGGGAAGTGGTACCCTCCCCAAGACCATCCCTGAGGTTGTTTTTGGAGGGGGCGCGAGGTGCCAGAGGGTCCTAGCTCGCCCGAGATTGCCCCAACAGGGCGCCCGATGCTCCGACATGGCCTCCAAGGTGGTTCAAGATAGCCGAATATGGTTCGATCAAGATAGCTTCCGACATACCTCCAAGAGGCCCCACGAGGGCCACACGACGGTTCCAGGAGCTCTCGGAGCCCCCTCGGGATCCCCTAAGAGGCGAAAATACGTTCACACAACCGACGGGTGACCATTGATTCGTGCCGTCTCGCCTTCGGCTGCCAATGGGCTTCTGAGACCACGAGGTGGCCCCAAAAATGGCCCAAGGGAGCCCGAAGAGGGGCCCCGAGAGGCCCCCGGAACGGCCCGAAGAGAGCTCGAGGTCGGCCCGAGGGCGCCCCGAGGGGCAATCTCGTGGCCCCCGGAGGGGGTGGCAGATCGAGAGCCCCCCCACCTCTGATCGACGCCCCACAAAGAGGGCCAAAAAATCCGTGCAGGGCCCCCGAGAGGGCCCCCCCAAGCGGGCCCAAGGGGGGCCCGAAGGCACCCTGATCTCGAGTTCGGCCCTGCCAGGTCTCTGGGCCTCGATCTCGAGGTCGGACCCTGCCAGGTCCACATAGGCCATGTGGCGGGGGCCCGGGCTGGGCTCCAGGCTCCGACATGGGCGGTGAACACCACCGCTCGGAGGGGGGGACCCTCTCCCCCCGCGCGCGACCTCAGGACTGATACTGCCCCGTTTATGTCTGCTGCCAACCGACTCGACTGGGCGGCAGGATCACAATTCGGAGGGGTAGGTTTCGCTTCGGTGGGAGTGTGAAGTCGACCCCTGACGTCCCTCCTCCTCCTCTCGTGCTGCTCTGTTCTGCCCGCCTCCCCTTTCTCTTTGCATGTTTCATCGTGCCGGGATCGGCAGCGAGCCCGAGTGTCGTGAATTTACGAACGAGAGGGCGAGGAGGGAGGACGGACGGAGGTGGGCGGCCGGAGGACGGAGGAGGGAGATGAGAAAGGAGGCGAGAAGGAGAGGGGGGAGTAAGGAGGGAGGCAGGATGCGAGGGGGAAGGACGGAGGAGGGAGCAGGGAAGAGGAGAGGAGATGAGGAGGAGGCGACGAGAGGAGGAGAGAAGGATGGGCGGAGAAGAGAAGAGAAGCCTGAAGCTGGATGGCCAGGCTACTTAAGCCTCCTCTCCTTCCCCATGATGACAAAGGCCTCCTCCTCCTCCTCATCCTCATCCTCCATTCCTTCTCCTTATAAATCCGCCGACCCTGTCGGCGTGTGGAATGGGTTGTTCTTCTCGTCCGTGCATCCTTCCCTTTCCCACCTTCTCCGTCTCCTTTTCGTTCGTCTCCCCCTCCTCCTCCTCCTTCTCCTCATCCTCCTCCTCCTCCTCCTCCTCCTCCTCCATCTCTTTCTCCTGCGTAAAGTAAATTGGCTCGAAGGGTTTCCCCTTCCCTTTGTTCCCTTCCCCGGCTGGGGGGGGGGGTCCTGGGGGAAGCCCGGGGGGGGCCTGGGGGGGGTGCCGGGGGGGTCCTGGGGGGGGTCCTGGGTCAGAATACCACCTCCCTCCTCCTCCTCCTCCTCCTCCTGAGCGTCTTTTTGCCACCTTCTCCATCTCCTTTTCGTTTGTCTCCCCCTCCTCCTCCTCCTCCTCCTCCTCCTCCTCCTCCGCCTCCTCCTCCTCCTCCTCCTCCTCAGACACTTCCTCCGCCTACCCTGTCACGTTGTCCTTTAGCTCCTTCCTGTGATCACACATCCCGTCGCCATCGACGGCCAAAACCTTCAGGGTCGGCGGCACCGGCCGTAAGGCCTTCACAATAACTTCTCCCTGTCGCACCTCGAGGCCAGTTTTTAGGGCGGGCCGGGCGTTTCGCCTGAGACTTCCTCACCATTTATGACTCTGAAGCCTCAAAATTGGCAACGGACTCACAGATGGAGGGCGGGTCGTTTTCAAAATGTGGCTCTCGCCTCAGCGCCGAGCACACTCGTCTTAAACATTTGCAAGAGCTTCACGGATTGAGAGCGAGTCGTTTTCAAAATGTGTCTATCGCCTTTGCGCCGTGCACATTAATCTTAAACATGTGCAAGAGCTTCACAGATTGAGGGCGAGTCGTTATCAAAATGTGGCTATCGCCTTAGTGTCGCGCACATTCGTCTGGAAAATTCGCAAGAGTTTCACGGATTGAGGGCGAGTCGTTTTCAAAATGTGGCTCTCGCCATAGCGCCACGCGCATTCGTCTTCAAAATTTGCAAGAGTCTCGCGGATTCCCATGATCAACGTACCATAAATCGTGTTTGGGAAGGATTCAAGCTTATGAGGGTGCACAAGTTATGTTAATTCGCGGTGTTCAAAGCCCAAAAATGGCGTTCTGGTACGAGTCAGGACCGTCAAGACGCAACAGTTAGGTTGATCCGTGGCGATGGAATCCCGAGAGCAATATTTTGGCATGGTTCAGGGTCTTCAAACAATTGTCTTCCCACGAGGCAGTTCCCTCTGTAAAAATAAACCGTTGTATGGGGCCCATGTAGAGGGAGCTTGGAGGGAGGGTTTATACCAACATCGTTGATGCCCCTTGGGCTTACACTGGTCCTCCTCCTCCTCCTCCTCCTCCTCCTCCTCCTCCTCCTCCTCCTCCTCCTCCTCCTGCCCAAACATCGGACGGCACGGACAAGTCGCGCCAAGAAATTATCATGATTCCCGGGGTCCAGACGCCGAAGGCATAGAAATATCGGGAAGCCGACGATTCGACGAAACCGCGACGTCGGAGGTATGGGTCCTGTTGCCTCGAAGGGAAGAGAGAGAGGATGGCAACGACGACGACGAGGACGACGACGACGACGACCGACGTCGTCACGAAGTCTCTGGAGGTCTGCACAGGTCCCGGGATGCCTCCGGGGGCCCCGATAAGTTTCCACAGGCTCGAAACCGTATACGACCTCGATCCTTGATCACCCCCCTGCGGAACGGGCGCGCCCGTTCTCGAGTCAGGGTGGTCCGGGTCGCAGGGCGGCTTGGTGCCCTCGGGGACCACCGCCCGCGCGGCCGCCCCAGGGCGACGACGACGGAAACGATCGGTACGATGACGACGACGACGACGATGACGACGACGACGACGACGACGCGGCAGCGGCGACGGAGGCGACGACAGAGGCGACGACGACGACGACGGAGGCGAGCACGACGACGACGACAACGACGGCGGCAGCGGCGACGACGACGACGCAAACGTGAACGTGGGCGGAGACGACGACGGCGTCGGCGAGGGCGACGTCGAGAGGGGGGAGGACGGAGGAGCCAGACGGAAGGGACGGAGGGAACAGGGAGGGGGAAACGGGGCGGAGTGCAGGAGGGAAGGAGTAGAGGGAGGACGGCGTGATGCGTGGGGGCGGGGCCCAGCGGGCCAGACAGAAGGGGGGGGGGGGCCCGGGGAAGTCGGACGCGAGGAGGACACGGCGTGGTGCGTAGGGACGGGGTGTTACTCGGGTCGGACGACGAGGGAGGGGCAGCACGGGGGAGGGGAGGGGGGGGGTCATCGGGCTGTGTCGGGCGCAGGGAGGGCGGCATGTGCGAGGAGTGGATATATCCACATCCACCGCCCATGGAACCGACGTCCTGAGACCCCAGCGGGCGGTGGATATGGACATATTTGGCGTCCCCAGGGCCCGAATATATCCATATCCACCGCCCCCGACGTCACCGAAGGTCGACCCCCAGGCGGTGGTTGTGGATGAATTCCTGCCTCCAAGCATGGTGCGGGGACAGGGCACATCGGGTCAGACGGAAGGGGGGCAGCACGGAGGCGGGTGGGGCATCAGCTCACGCACCTGGTCTTTCCTGGCGCCTCCCAGCGCCGGATGCGCCAAGGCATCCAGGAAAAAAAAGCGTGGCGACGGGGGCGAGACCAGCTGCATGCAGCAGAAATTGCATCCCTCCCGTTTCCAAGATACCCCTTTCGCCCGACCCGAGTCCAGCGCCAGCGGAGAACTTCCACGGACGTCTAAGAAGTCTGTGTGTTGGAGGTGTGACTTCCTGGCTCCCCCACGGCATCCGATGCCTTGACCTCATCCAAGGGCCAGTCGTTTTCCGAGGATCCCAGGGCCTGGCGAGGAACCCTGGAAGCTGCAACCGGCGACAAAAATCCCGCCGTGACACTTATCCAAGACGTTGGAGGTCTGGGCCGCTGCCCTGGGGATTGGCGCCTCATCCTGAGCCGCTTCAGGCGGTCACTGGGGCCATTCTGTTGCCTCTTCGGGGGACCTTGTCTGTGCCGTCGCGCCCCGATCCGCATCGAATCCGTGTCGAAGCCATGTCGGACACGTCGAATCCGCGCCCCTACCCGCGTCGCATCCGCGTCGAATACACGCCAAATCCGCGCCGAGCCCGCATCGAGCCCGCATCGGGCACAAGGCGAGGTCCCCCGAGGATGCAAGGCAAGGGCCCAGCGAGGTAAGACGAAGACAGAATCGAGACAAAATAAGAACCAGTATAAATCGAGAATCTCTGAGATCCCGCGGCTCTAGAGGATGTCTCGGGCGAGGCGGCCGTTTCAGAGCGTTCCGGAACGCTCTGAGAGTGAACGCTCTGGACCGGATTTATCTCGATTATGGGCCCGTCCGACTTTGATCCCCTGGACCTCCGACAGCATAATCTGCTCGCAACGTCAGCCCCTGGATCCTGGCCACGCTGCCACCGTGGGACCGGCGTCTCAACCAGAGCGACGCCGTCTGGCGGCCCTGGGGACTGGCGAAGGCCCCCCGAAGGCCGAGAACCGACAAAAACCTAGCGCCCTGGGATGGGAGGATCCGGGACTCAGGCTCCCTGGCAGCCCTGGGATCTCATCTTTTTGCCGGGGACCGGCGGCTCTTCATCCTGAATCACTGTTTGGCGGTCCCCTCGAAGGCCGAGAACGTAACGAAGAACTTGCCGCCGCGATCTTGGGGCAACGCTCGGATCTGAGGGTCTGGCTCCCAGGTCGCGTGAACCCACTGAGATACGACGTCGCGAAAAACGGCATCGTGGGAAATCATGACCAGAACCCTAGACCCCATCTCTTTGCGGCATCTCTCGAGCTGGGCCCATCTGCGAAGGCCCCGCGGCACGAATCCTGGCGAA